CTCTCCAGAGTTCATTTAAATCAATAACATTCATGATATCATCTGATGATACAAAGTCTGCTGACAGATAGTCTGCAATCTTTTGCCAGCTACTGTAAAAATATCAAAGAATTAATCTTACTGAATTTAGCATTACAAATGAACATGCAGTGAAGTTTGACTGAAATCACCTGTGACCTCTTAGCACTGAATAATCTTGTGTATGTCAAGACAGACAATAAAGCTTTATATTCCATCAAGTAAAAAATATTCTAGAATTGCTTGTTCAGGGTCTATAAGGGAAGTTGTTCATATGCTCCATGAAAATGATAGTAAAGAACTCTGACATCAAATAGGACTGGCAATAGCAAGCTGCAAGTACTGTGTAGCAATGTTGGGTGCTAGAAGCTGCAGCAAAGCCTGGCAGCCATCAGTGGGGCTATCACTGGCCTGTCCAGATGGTTTGTAGTTAGCCCTCTAAATGGAGATATGACTGCAGCACAAGCATTATCCAAATTCAACAAGAGAGAGAACAGCTGGTGTCTGTGGGTTCTGCTGGCAGTCTGTCTTCTAAGAGAAATCAGCACCATCAACAGAACAGGAAGACTAAGTGAAATAACTTTCATCAGAGATCTTCTATACCCAAATAATCTCACTTTACATAATAGGAAACAGTAAAAGTTCTTCAGTCAAAAGCTGGTTCCACAGGATAATATCAATGAGCACCGAGATCGAGTGTTCATGGAAGCCACTGAGAACTTTCTTGTCCTCCACATACCTCAGGAAATACTGTATAGTAGATTATTGCTTATTCTATGCAAGGACTGAACATTCAGCTTTTTAAACATTATTAATTTAGGATTAATCTTAACCATGTATTCTATGAAGCAAATTTCAATCTTTTGGGCATCAAGGGGAAGTAAAGTGGAGACTTTGGCAAATTGTTTAGTATCCACACAATCATTTACTTCAAGGGATAAAAACCCCAAATCACTGTGGTTTATATGGTGAGATATATCATGGCCTTTATATGTCTATTAGAGGAGGACAGTAAGTAAATTCCTGGAAATAACTTCAACTTGAATTAATAACTCAGTAATTCTTCATATTAACAGAATCCTGAAAAGCATACAGGAAATAATAGAGCATTTACACTCCTTTTTTCAAAAGGGACAAATGAGGCACTCTACTTTTCCTCCCTGAAAAGTAATACTAAAGGTAATATAAAATTTAACGTAAAACCAGCATTAGTATGGCTTTATTTAAAAAAATCTGGAAAACTACCATCAATATATAAGTTATCCCATAGCATAATACAACATGAAAACATTGTATGCACACTGAACCCATGGAAAGGGAAAATATTTTATTCTTTGCTCTCACAGAAACGCAGAGGCCTGGCTTTTCTGCCTGCTTCTCTGGTTAGGACATGCATTTACAATAAATAAGGACAAGTAATTCCTCCCCTCATACAATAACAGCAAACTAATTTACATATTTTCAAAGTATACATATAAAGTACTCAACATGCTGTTTTTATTTCAACCCACTTATCTATGCTAACACAAAGCTGAAACCTTAAAAAACTTTCAGTTTTACCCCTGAAATAAATGCCATACCCTTTAGCATCACTTGCTGCAATAGTGATCTGAGCAGAGTGCCACTCTCTCAGGTGTTTCAGGGCACCAATAGCAGGTAAGCAGTCCTTTAACTTGGATCCATCACATTCAACAGCCTGCAGGATTACATCAACCATTGCTCTGCCTATAAAATAGTTGTGTATGACTCAAACATCATGATTCAGTAAAATTTTCAGTCATTTAAAGATAGAATAGCATTGGTTATCATTGATTGCACTAAAACCACAAGTAACTTCAAGATATAAAACACTTTTCTTGCATTTTAGCTCATCTCTTGCTGCTCCTCTTAGATGAACACAAAATATTTCACTATTCCCACTGTGACAGTGGTTCTGTCCCTTTCTCCTCTCTCACTCAGCACTGCTAGATGATAGTTGTCTCCTGTACAACTAAGCTATGGTCTTTTCTTACCTTTAACTCTAAGCTGCTATTTTCCATTCTTCTTGAGTTTTTTTGTTACCGCAAATCAACTTCTGCAATATTATATAACCCTAACATGCAAGGTAGTAAGTATCTCCAGTTTACAAAATCCCAGTCCAACAGCTGTGATGTATTTTCCTTCTCATCTTCTTGGCTCAAAAGCAAGCAGCTTGTCAAATCAGATGTAATTGTAACCTGATATCAACATCTTCCTTTTTTAAAATATGAAATTTCCTGTGTTGAGTTTTGTATTGCTTACTGTCTATGATTACTTTGGTGTAATTTCAGATGGATAAATTTATTATATAAATAGCTATTTTAAACTCTACTGAACTACAGCCTACCAAAGAAACAAGCAGCAAACTAGTCCTCAAGCTGATCTGCAATGCCAACCATGCTCAAGTTCCTGAACTACCTTCAAGAGCTACGTTAATTCAGCTACCAAGCTAATGTTCTCTGAACTTTTCCATTCACTATGCTTTTACCAAATGAGTTTTTAGATCAGTAACTAACAAGATAAACTCCAATGAGATTGATTTTTAAAGACGGATTACCTGGGGCAGGCAATTTATCAGCTAATTGATGCAGACTTTCAGCAGCTTCATCATAGATACTAAAAATGAAGAACAAAAAGTTACAACTAATGAATGGTACCTGATGTATCTTACATCTTTAAAACTCTGCACAAGCATACCTAGGCTATGAGAAATCATCTCTTTCACTAAGACAGAAGTAGGCCTAATGACATCTAAATAATCTGAAGTAAAACTGGAAGTAGGATTCAAGAGGAATTAGCAAGAAATTTCTGTATATATACCATTAGCTGTTAGGAAACTGTTCTGTTATCCTATAAAAATCCTCTGTAAAAAAATTAAAGCTACACTGAAGAGAAAAAAGTATTCTCAATACTAGTAGGGGATTGTTCATAGTTAACTCTTGCTTTGGTAGTAACTCTCACTTGTTAAACTTTCTTGATCCCCTTGGGTCATCCCCAGATGTCAGATCACTGTTCTTTAAATAAAGATAATCATACACATACTCAGTCAGAGACAGTGATTCCTGACTGTTACTGTCATCTTCCTCAAAATTTTGTGCGGTTCCCAGGGTCTCATCAATACTTGCTTGGAAAGAGTCTTCACTTTTCTGTGTGTCAACATTTATTTCCTCCCAGTCAGAACTGCAGAACTAATCAAACAAAAAGATTTAAATAAGCAAAAATAGTTTTGAACATCACAGTTTTAGCTTGTTCTACAGTCAGCCAGATAGTTGAGGAATTTATACTCTAAAAAAGTTTGTCTTACCTGATAATAACCACAAATTATATGACTTGCAAAATACCACTTCTTTGTACCTGGAATACCAGCCACTGAGCAAGCTGCAAAGAGATAAAACAATTATTTAATCAATTCACTGCACTCTATCTTCCTATTATAATACACATCTCTGTTAAAAGACTCTGTAATTCATTCAATGTGCAACAATTACTTGAGTTCTACTTTCCTTTGGTACTGCAATTAAGCACTAAACATATTAAGGTGTAGGTAAGTGTCTTGGCAAGTGTCTATTACTGATCCTCTGACTATTAGTAAGAAAGAAAGCATTTGACCTCTTCTCTGTTCTGGGTGATATTGATTTTTCTTTGCACGATCTGTATCAGACCTGAACTAAACAACACCTTTCATAAATATAATTTAGAGTTCAAAAAATGAGATGCTCTATCAACATTCCTATGCAATAAAAAGCACAGAACTCTCAGCTCCATGAATTTTAAGAGCTTTTAGTGGTTTTCCCACATAAATTCCAATCACATGACATCTGTGACAAGATGAGCTTATAACAATAGATATCCAAACCAAGTAAAGAACTAAAAAGCATCTTTTGGATTAAAAAACCCCAAAACAACAAGCAAGCAGCCCCTAAAAGTACTAAAGCAGACCTTAAGACATCTCTTCTAAAGTGAAAAAACGACTTAATATTTATGGATTAAGGTTTTGTATTGTTACCCAACAGACAACTATTGTTTCTACTTAAAATATCAGAAGACATTATAGAAGTAAATAAAATATCATGCTTCCCACTGACTTGAGAAATAAGCCTTTTCCTACTCTTCCTTGCTCAACTGGACTGAAATTTGTCAACTCATCAAAACCCTTCCCCTTCATTTCTCACAACCAATCAATTGATTAATCTCCTAGCACCTTTGCTGCTGAAATGATGTCAGTTTTTCCACAGAAACAGGAGCAGCAGGAACAGGCCTACACCACAGCAATGGGGTTTACTTAAATTTCTGGCTTGTTTCCCCTAAGAGAACATGCATAGGCCAATTCCTTGATAGCATTTGCCCTACCTCACCGTGCATTGCCATATTTACCTGGGAATATGCTCACATCTGCATTTATAGATGCATTACAGCTTTCTTTCAGGAACTGATACATGCGTGCAGCAGTCCCAGCTAGGAAAAAAAAAAAAATCAAAATTACTGAATTATGGAAGTTAAATCTTACTTTCTTGCAAATACAGTATAAAGTTCAGTGTGATATTGGAAAGTGAATTAAGGAGAGAAGGGGGAAAGGGCTTGGTTGGGGTTTTTAACAGAACTATCACCTGCAGATATGCAGTTTAAAAAGACAAATTTTCCTAAGTTCTCCTTTAAGTCACGCTCAGGAACGCATTACGGAGTTACATGGCATCATCGCGATAAAGCGGGAACCCCCCTGAAGTTTCTGCGGGTTAAAGGCACCAAAGACTTTCAGCCTGAAAGCAAAGGGGTGTTTAGGAAGGCAGGAACCAGAACAGCGCCCGCCCGCCCAGCCCGGCCCGGCCCGGCCCAGCGCCCGCGGGCCCCGCGGCCCCGTCCCCGGCGGTACCTGCGGCGGTACCTGCGGCGGTGGCTGAGGCGGGCCCGGCCTCGGCCCTGCGCCCGCCCCAGCTCAGGAGCAGCACGTAGCGCTCCATGGCCGGCCGGCCCCGGCCCCGCCGCTCCGAAGGGCCCGCGCCGCCGCCCGGCACCGCCCTCCGCAGGGCAGCGCTTCCGCTTCCCGCGGCCCCGGCGCGGCCTCCCTGCGCGGGGCCGGCATGGCGAGCTACAGCCGGGCGGCCCAGGTGAGCGCGGCCTCCCCCGCGGGCGTTCCTGCCTCCGGGACAGGCACAGGGCCCGGGGCCGGGGGGTAGTGGGAGGGCACGGAGGGTCCGCGGGGGAGCGCCCCGGGGCTGCCCCGGTGCCCGGCCGGGGGCGCCGCTGCAGGAACCGCTGCAGGCGCCGCTGCGGGAGCCGCTGCAGGAGCCGCTGCAGGAACCGCTGCAGGAGCCGCTGCGTGCGGTGTGTCGGGGCCGGCACGGCCGCGGCTCGGGCTGAGCGCTGCGTGTGCGGGAGTTGCGCCCTTTGCCGGGAGGGAAGGGCACCTTGGGTGTTCCATATCCTGCAGCCATGTTACGATTCTGAAACATAAATTTTAAGGAATTTAGAGATTTTAGAGGAGCTAAGATTTACTTAGAGATAAGCCCTACTAGAGTGAATTAAAATAAATGACTAGGCCTCGATGAAGTTAGGAGTTAGTAGTTGACTAATAATTAATTGCTTGTCAACACAATGTTTAGTTGGCTGGGTTTATAATGAAGAATATGTAAAATGACAAATAGCTTTTAGGAACATAAGACAATTGTGGGCCTCCTCTGTTCTGAAACCAATTGAAGACAAGGAATGGGAGTTCTACCAAGAGTTCATTTGTTATATTTGCATTGAAAAGGTAGAAAGGTCAGAACGAGGAAGACTTCATTTACTTCCTCATTTTGGGACCCATCCCCATGAAAGGGACCACCGACCCATTTCAAGGAACAAACTACACATGCTTAATAGCTTTTGAAATAATTAGCATATGAAGATACAAAGTGAGGAATGGGATGTACCAAAATTATGATTATGTATTTGTATTTTGGGTATTCAATACTTGTATGGATGAAAGGGCTGTGTAATCACTTGGAAACTGCAGTCTGTATTTGGGAGCTATCCCGCACACTGCCCGGCGTCGAATAAACATACATTAACTTTAAACTGTTAGAGAGTTTTTGTCCGTCACGGTTGGATATCAGTACTAGATCAATATCCATATTTTTAAATAAATCAATTCAAGTAGCGATAATGGAAGATTCCAGCAGGAAACCCTACATTTTTGGAAGCAAGCCCTCGGGGTTGGTAACCTATCAGTGGTGTTACCCACGTACATCACACTGGGTGTATCGCAGTGCTCCGTCCATTTAAAGGTTATTTGAAGGGGCTGGTGCTGCATATCTGTATTCCTTCTGGTATTATTGAATGTAAAAGAAGTGTTGATTTAATTGAGGAAGATAGATTACAGCAATATGAGCTTTCCCTATGATAAGTACTGACTCTTCCTTTTCAGCAATGGGCTACTTTTGGTAGAGCTTGGTACCTCCTCGATGCGAAGATGCAACCCCCAGGAAAAATAGCAGCTGCCACTGTAATCCGGCTCGAAGGCAGACATAAGCCTATTTATCATGCACTAAGTGAGTATTGCAGTGGATGAAAGCAAATTTGCTTTTCTGCAACATGCATGTTTCTTCCAATTTCAGTTTTAAAATCAAACCTGATATAAAAGAATACTTTTCTCAATTGCTTATAAATTAAAAATTAGTTGGTTTTCTTTCTTATCTTTTTCCATCATATCCCTCCACAACCTAGTGTTGTTTCTTTACCAATACATATAAAGAATGTTATGAATTTGTAATTCATTTTGAGTAACTGAATTACAGTGGGTTCTTCTTTTCTCAGAACATATTTTGTTGATCTTAAAGTAAAGATTTAGTTCACGGTGCACATAAAGAAACATCTGAGTGCTTCCTTTCAGTAGGTGCCCAGGACCACAGTCTTGGAGTGCTTCATTCTGAGAAAGGTGCCAAGCAGTCCTGTATTCATGAGGCAGTGGGCACAAACTGAAATCAGATAAGATATTTTTTACTGTGAGCGTAATGGGAAGTCATTGCCTAAGAGGTGGTGAAGTCTCCATCTGTAGGGATTTTCAGAAGCTGGTCCTGCTTTGGTCACTGGGTTTAGATTATGTGACCTTCAAAGGCTCCTTCCTGCCTCACACATTCTGTGATGAGGAGGCTGGGACCTGTCCTTAAATGGGTGACAATCATTGTTGAGAGGTATCTTGTTTAAACAAAGCCATCATTTAGTTTTTCTGCTAATTAGAGATTCAGCTATAAAGATGCTTCTGTAATCCTGTTTATTACCTGTAATGCTGTAGTGCCTGTTTCATGGGGATAAGCATTTTATAAATAATAAAAAGTTGATCTTTCACACCACTGGTACAATGTTTCCTGAAGTACCCATGCAAATTTTCCCAGAGACATTACTGAAACGTAAAGGAAACCTTGAAGTTGGCTCATATATATTGAAGCATACATAGTAAGATTATACCAATCCTTTTCACAAGAGGAGGTAGGATTTGTAGTGTTGTAAAGACCTTTAAATGTCAGTTCTGCTGTTGCAAATTTTGTTGCATCCACAAGGTGTCACTGGAGACTTGAGGTTGTCTTGAGAAATAAAGTGGATGCTGAGAGGAAAATGCTTTGGTGACCCTGTGCGAAAGAACTTTGATACTTTTATGTCTGTGAAGTTATAAAGTCTTGGGAAGTATTTCAAGGATAACTTAATTTTGTTTAAAATGTTCTGTAAGTCAGTACTAATTGCTTTACACATGTTGACACCAATTGGTTGGTTACTGCTACCGAGACATGTAGGAGGGCAAAGTATTCAGGAACTTGTGGTTTATGTACTTGTTGCTTCTTTTGTATTTTTTTTATTGAACTAACAAATATTTTAGTGTCTGTAAGATACCAGGTCCCTGGACAGAGTAATATCAAGAAGATTTTTTTATTATTTTGTTTTTAGTTTGGTTTTTGTGAATTCAGTGTTCATGCAAATGGAAAACTGTTGGCAGAAATTTCCTTGAAGATGAGCTTATTGTGTCATCTTCCCAACCAAAACACCAAAAAGTCACAAAATCCCGGTAGTCCCACAGAGACCCTGGGAACTGACCCAGTGCCAGTTCCCTGATATTTATGAAGACATACAGTGTTTTTAGAACTGAACTGTCAGCAGTGAAAGGCTGCAGCAATAAAGATGTGTAAATTGCATTTGCACTTCAGCTGTAATTGAAAGTGGAGCATTAAAAGAATACAAGATTAAAAAATAATAAAAAACTTAAGGTGTGAAATTTGCTTTGATTAATTACGTGCTCCTATAAAAAATTCTTGGTCAATTTAAGCCCTGCTTTGTATAGCTGTTTTGTTACCTACTCAAAAATGTTTTAATCAAGTGAGCCTCTTCAAATACTTGTGTTCTAATATGGTGATGAAAATGAGGCTGACCTTTGGAGAAATCATTTTCACTTCCGTTGAATTGGTGATTACAGCTGATCAAGACCATTACTTCTGAAATTAAAAACTACATCTTTTCTCCTATTTATGTAGTATTTTTGAGATAATAGAGGTTTTGTGAGCACTTTTATTACTACAGAAGCCTTATTAAATCAATCCTGTTTCTGGCAGGGTGTTGGTAATAGATTATAAACCTTGCACTTAAAGAACTTCTGATGTTAAAGTTGCTGATATAACTCTAAACATATATGTAGATGCTGTAACATTTGCTTCTGTTTGATAGATGAAAATGTGGAGTTTTTCCCAACAGAGCTGTAGGGGGTGGTAGTTTCCCCCACCACTTCCCTCAATGCAGTATTTTTGTTTGTTCTATGTATTTAGCCTGAGAGTGTTACTATTTAATAGAAGTATTTTACTTACCCAAAATGTTCAGTCCTTTAGTAAACACAGACACTGTTTTTATGAGAAAGTAAAATAAAAAATATTTAGGATCATTTGGAACTAACCTTTTTTTCTCCTGTTTTGTTTTTTTGTTATTGTTTTTTTTTTTTTTTAATATAGGTGCATAGGCAGCATAATGTGTTGAATAGAATAGAAATTTGCCTGTAAGCCAGATTTCCAAATCTTAGCTGAATATTTGCAATGGTTTAGTCATCTGGCTTGATGGTATTTTACCTGCTTACCTGCCTTCTAAACTGGTAGTACTAAAAATAGTAATTAAGGTTGGTATTTAAGTCCTAATTTGGATGGTGCAACTTGAAAAGCTCAAATTTTTAAATTTCAGTTTTATGGAAGGTGTATTTATATGCTACTATGTATATATTGCACACATAATAGTTGTTACTTTGATTGATTCCCTCTGTGGTTTTCTTTAATATCTTCCACTTACTTCTACCTTGCAGATGACTGTGGAGATCATGTTGTCATAATAAATACAAAGCATATTGCCTTCTCTGGTAACAAATGGGAACAGAAAGTATATTCTTCGCATACTGGGTAAGCTTTATAGTAAATAAAGCTTGTGGTAATGAGCTTGTGGTATTTTCATGTCATATTTTCTTAATAGTTGAAGTCTTCTTTAGCATATTGCTTTAAAAGAGAATTCCTGCTCTAACTTTTAGGGGATTTTTGTTTGTTTGTTTGCATGTGTTATTATGTTTAAAATGGTGTAAACCTTTCTCTTCTATTTTTCTTTTCTTTATTTTTGGTGGTTTTTTTAAGGGAAATCTAATTCAAAAGTAGTCAGAACAATTGATTAAGTTAACAGATTTGGTGAGTGAGGTTGTGTCTTGTGTTAACCACTCGACCCAGTGATCTGGACTATTCTGTTTACTGTGTAAGAGAACATATTTCTATTGGCACTACACATTTTATATATATATATATATATATATATATATATATATATATATAGTCACCAACTTTAATCTTTAATTACTTTATCCTACCAGGACCTATTTACCTAAGAATAAGTATTGAATCAGAGGATGAGAAAAAATTATAAAAACAATTAAAAAGTAACGTAAAAGGTATTATTCTGGCAGACATAACTTGTTTACAGTGGAGAGTGCAATAATCAGCTACAGACAGGGTGTCCATGATCAGTTCAGTGCTCCTATTTGATGCAGTGATACTAATACATAATAATCTCTAAGTGTCACAATGTATCCTATTGAAAGATGAATAGATCACACTAATTTTGTAGTGCTAGTGCTGCAATCCTGAAATTGCTGAATTGCTGAGAAATTCACATTCAGAGGTGATGGAAATTATGTGCTTTTTTTTCATCTCCATCTCCCCTATGACCTAAAAACTTAACATGTATGTTAAAGCACTTGCTTGAAGTACCTAAGTTGGTTTTGAATAAATAAAAAGAACTGTATGCTTAAAACTAATACTTATGTCCATGCAGATCAGTGGACATGTCTTCATGATGCTGAGCCTATTTTCATTTCACTTAGGCTGATTCCTAATAATGTAATTCAATCAAAATGAAACCCAGCATTACCTGACTTCCATGTAATTCTTACTCCATGCTATTATTCATTTAAAGCTTATGCAGAGATCTGAATTAGTGCAGCTTCAACATGTGATACAGGCTTTGGAAGGATGGATCCATTGCAGTAAAATTAAAATTTTATAACTGTAGATACGCCAAGTCTTGCTAAGGTTTATTTAGAATAGCAAGAAAATAATAAATACAGTTCAAAATGGATGTCTCTTACGTCAGCTGCAGACTGGTTGTGAGTCTTGATTATCTGGAACTATTTCAGAGTTCTGCATATCTTATTCCTGTTGTATTCTATAGCTGTTATGGTGTATTTAATAAGCAGTTTTAAAAACATATCCATCTACTTGTGAAGCACAAGGTTTTTTATACTCAAGTGAATAAATAAGAAAGCATAAATAGTGTTGAAATTAGATAGTTGACAGGATAAATAAAATAGGAGTTTTGAGCTCATGAGAACGACTTCCTTTTTTGAGGGCCTATAATAACACTGCACCATTGTTCAAGATGTAGTGATACTCTGTTAACATCATGCTTGAGCATGTAGAATGAAGCTTGTATGTTTGTTTCATTTTTTTAGTTATCCTGGTGGTTTCAAACAAGTGACAGCAACTCAGCTCCATTTGAAGGATCCAACTGCTGTAAGTGTTTTTCCCTTCTTCTCTTTCATTTGTGAAACTACTTGGTTTCCAGTTAATTAGATTTCCTAAATAAATGGGATCGATTACCTGCATCTCTAAAGTTAAATTACAAACATAATACTAGTGGTTTGTAGAAGCTTGCCTTGTGACAGCATTTTTGTAAACAATGTTTTCAGGGTTAGATTGTAAGTTGTGTATTTTTGTCATTCTTCCATGCTGTCCAAAGGAGCAAATCAAACTTGTTTGCTTCACTGATTTTTCACTTATTTTCTTCCTTTTAGTTTCAAGGGTCTGACCTTTCTCATAAGTGAACTGCCTCCAGTTTGAGTGAGCTAAGCTGTATTTGAGCTTAATGACCCTACTGCTTTTTTAAGAGTCAGCAAGAATAATGCTAATCTTAAAAAAGTGCATCTGCCTTTTTCCCAGTGAAATTCAATGGTAGGTTTTAAGTGATGATGGTTTTTTAAATCTTTTCTGCAATACTGTGTGTTCATGGTCTGCAAAAGAAATGGAAATTACGATTATGCTGAACATAAGCCTGTTTACTCTGTGTTAGACTGTTGTATATTCTGAAATGCAGTGTTCATGTGTTTGTACTGATTAAAAAATAGGGAGACAGATATGAACATTTTGACTTACACAGTTATGAAGTAACTTCTACTAGAGGTTTGAATATACAGCATTGGAGGACTGAATTCTCTAAGTACTAATGTTCCAGAGCATGATGCAAGACCTACAGAGCCTAATAGATATTTATGTTCAGTTTTGACTTCAAAATGCTTTCATTTGGGTCGCTTTATGTATAAAATATTGAAGCGTTTCTTCCTTTACCTAAAGAAGTCTTGTCTGCTGTAAAATTTATGGGTTTTATCAATTATTTGGAACACCTGGTTTGTCCCAAGTCTGCCTTTTATAAGTGCAAGTACTCAATGAAAAAGTGGTCCACCATATGAATTTGCCTGGTTTCTGGCTTTACTGTTGCAACTTCTTTAAATAAAATGAAACTAAATCCTACCTTTCCATATGATGTTCTGTCTAGAATTTTGAAAATGCTTTTGCAAACAGCCTCTAAGATAGTTGCAATTCCTGTGGGAATTACTGATAGTTCCATGTCTAAAATGGATTCTTCAATCTATTTCATTTGAGCTTCAGGCAGATGCTGAGCACTGGGAGGCAGTGAAACACAACTTGTTAGAGCATGAGAATTGGATGTTCTCTAAATTACCTTCTGGCATTCATTGTAAAATACCTCATTTATTGCCAGACTCATAGATTAATTTCTCTGCAAACAGAAGAGGATTAAATGCATTGCCAAAATCTAAAGCACGTTGGACAAAGGCTCAGCAAATGGTGATGTGGCTTAAGTCTCGGTCTAATTTAGCAGCAGACACTATTTTTTTAATACAATGGTGGAGAATCTTCAGCAATTAATTCTGTCATTCTACTGAAGATGAAGCATTCAGTTGCCTCTCTCATAAAGATATCTCAGACATGTTTTTGTTATAATTAGTGGTAGTGGGTGGTAATTTGGCAAGATATGTTCTGTTTGTGTAGCTGTAATGGGTTTTTATGGCTAGAAACATTTGTTTACTAGTTGAATTGTATTGGTGTGAAATGCACTGGGATATGACAAAAATGGAAATTATGATGATGCTTTATTAACAGGTTTTATTTTAAGAACTAGCTTTTAAAACCTGAAAAAGTAGTACTGTAAAGAGAACAATGTCATCCTAAGTAAATATGCACCTTCAAATAATAATCTAAATGACACATAGTTATTATGGAGACTTTTAAAATCAGTTTTGTTTCCTTTCTCTTTTAATCGCATTAAACTCAGTTCCTGTGAAGCCAGTGGAATTAGGAAGATTGTAGGAAGCAGGCTGTATCTTCCTGTGGCATCTGAATCTTCATTTTATAAAGTGTTACTTCCATTCTGGAGGCCACTGCTCTTTCTCTGCCCTTGGACTTACTGCCTCCAGCTAATTCATCCTGGTGGTGCTTCATAGAGGAGTCATCATTGCTTTTGGAAATAGTGCTGTTACAGAAATTAAGGCAGTAAATTAATGGAAGAGACTACTTCCGAGGAAGAGATGTTGTAAACTTCCATGGTGCTACATAGGGATTTTGCAATGCATTTGGCTATTTGCAGTTTATGTAAGACTTCCTGAGTGTGTGTGTGTATAGTAGGACTGCAGGAGTGCCTAGCACTGTCTTTGCTTACACGTATCTCAATTCAAACATGAAAATCCCCAAGATAAATACTTTTATGTCAGTTTTGTTTCTAGTATACAGAGTGTTTTAGGAAAACCTGCTTTACAGCTAATGGCTAGTTAAAAAGATTGTAATGAGTAATTTGATATAAAATGCTTTAGTTTATGCTTACATGGGAGGCTGAAAGCCATAAGTATAGTCGTCAGAATTTAGGCAGGGTTACTGTGGTATCATCCCTGGTCATTTCTAGCTCCTTCCTAAGGCGCCAACAAGGTTAAGTGATATTCTGACTTCATGGAGGCTACCTCATTGTATCTATCTTTCTAATTTTGGAGCTTTATGTTCCTTGCAGGTGGTAGTTAGTGCTTCAGAGGGATTGTGCTGAATTTGAATTTACATGTGCCTTTTTTCAGAGAGCCATAGGATGATTCAGATTGAAGAGAATCTGAGGAAATCTCTAGTCCAGCTTCCTACTTGAAGTGGTGTCAACTATTAGGTCAGATAAAGGTGCTGGGGATTTATCCAGACAGGTCTTGAAAGCTTCCTACAACTGTTTGTATCCATGACTTCTCTTCTTTGCTGAAAGGGATAAAAAAACTTCACCTGTCCAGTCATATGTGTCTGATTCTGATGTATGATTTTGTACCTGAGACTAGAAAAAGACTACTTTTTTTTTTCCACTGCTAAGTATCTTTCATGTTAATATGGGGCAGTGAATGCAGAAAGAAGTCTGCATAGTTGATGTTTCATACAGAGCTTAACTTAATGTTCCTTGTTCATTTTGCCAAGTTTTTCAGCACTTCAGAAAAATTTGCATTTAAGCAAGGGTGAAAATTAGTGTGCTAAAAAAAAGATAGCAAAAGTACATAGTCCAGAATGTTTTTCCCTTAAAAAGTACAAAAGTACATAGTCCAGCACATTTTTACCTTAAATACTTCTGAGTTCATTTGGGAGGCATGAGGAGGGGAGTGTCTCTGAATCTGTCTAAAATTTCTAGTGTTTTCATTTGTCTGCTCTTCTTCAAAATAGCAGAGAATAGAACTAATCTAATGAAGTTGGCTGGGCTACTTTAAGAAGTGCTTATTGAAAAGAAAAAGAAAAAAACCCAAAAAAACCAGCTTGTTCACATTTCTCTGACTTAGATTAAATGTTAATTCTTGGACCACACATAAGCAAAACTATTAAATATGTTCTTTAGGTGCATCATGAAACTTTGGTGCTGTAGTTCAAAACAGCCACTCTGTTCTTTGGTTAATATAATACTAATATTCTGTAGGGCAGCAATAATCTCTTGGGATATAAGTGGGCAGGCAGCATTAGTTTCCATTGGAGGTTGCTAAAAAAAAAATCTGATTGAATGGTTTGGCGTGTTTTCTTCACCAGGACAGTCTTTTGAAAATAAAGGAAACAGGTAAACATTTGAATTTGAGGTGTAGGTGTTTGGAATGCATAGAGTTTTGGGATTTTCTTGACTTTTTTAATAAAACTTGCAGAAGTTTTATTTAGCTGGAAAACTGCTGATTGGCATGAGACCGGCACTTTCAAAATTAGACTTTTAGGTACTGGATACAGAAAGACTAAAAGATGTAGTTTTAATTCCCGGATTTGAGAGGGGGCAAAGATTACCTGAAAAAAATTCCTGGCAGGAATTTCATTTAAATGCCTGCAAAATAATGTTGTCAGATGTAATCTGCAGAAGTAGATAGTAATCTTGTGAGGACAAAGTTTTCAATCGATTTTTCTTTGATTTGTGATTTGAAAGGTAGGCAAAAGTCAGCTTATTTTTTTTTTTTCTGGCTGCATAAGAAACTTGACCCCAGAAAAGAAGAAAAAGAAATTACATTTGGTTGAGACCAAATGCTCAGTGAAAGGACTGACCTTTGTAGTATTCAGAGGCTGTATTGCCTGTGACAGAAAAATAATAGGCAATAATTTTTCAGAATGAATGTTACCTGCTAGGGAAGATTATTAAGTGAAGCAGTGTAGCTCAGTGGAAATGTGCTGGGAGGGAGCCTCCAGGGGTGTCCAGGTTTTGGTTTTTTCAGCTGCTGGCACTGATGTGAAGAAGTTTAAAATGTTCTAATTCTCATTTTGAATGCCCTTTAGTAACTGCTTGCATGTATAGACTTGCCGTTATATCTGCCTAATAATGGTCTTTTGAAGAAAAGCTCAGACAGCAAGCACAGTTAAATCTTGCTGTTGAGAACCTATTTTCTTTGCATCAGTAAGGGATAGTTGATAAAATAATATGTACATGCTGGAAGTCAGTCACTGAAACACTAGAAGTAGTCCGTATTACAAGGGAGCAATGTTTTTTAATTAGGTAGAACAAAACTTCGAAGATTGGATTAGTAGGCACACAAATTAGTTTTGCATGGGGAGGAGAATATGCTATCTTAAAACCTCTAGGTTATCTGAGTAAGTCTTAGAGCTAACTTGGTCATTTTCTTCATAGTACACAAAAGAAATGCTAGTATTAAAAAGTCTTAATCCGTTCCTTATTTTTGAGTCAATAATTTTAAGAAGACATTAAATTTCCAAAAATTTTTTAAGTGGAAAGCAGCAGTGGAGACATGCATGTGTGTGAAAGTTTAATTTGTCTGTGACCAACTGATTCTTACGGCAGTATTGAGTATGTTCACTCTTGCATGTACAAGTTATGCTACTTGTCAGAGTTAGAAAGTTCTTTGTGCTATATTTTATGATACGTGGGTGAAAAGAACAATATTGTATACAGAACTGAAAACCATGGACTGGTGAAAGGAAGATGTGGTATTGAACTGTACCTCCAAGTAACTGCTGTATCTCTTGAAATTCTTCTAGGGTTGTTTTGGTATGCCTTGTAATTAATCACTTTGTTTTCTCTGGAGCACTGTGTCCTTCCCATATTCTAGAGTTGCTTCCTGTTGATTATTGGACTTAATTCAGCTGTTAGGATAGACTTTCTTCTGGAAATTCAGCCAATTATTTTGTGCTTCTCAGTACTAGGAGTGGTATTGCTCTGTTGATTTCCGTCTTTAAAGTATGTTTTATCTGGCAAAGAATCTTTCTCAGAACTTGTCTCCATCAGACATAGTCTACAAGCTGCACATAAGCCAAAGATTGTCACAAAAATTGAAATGTTTAGGACTCACAGTGTTTCACATAAATATATTTTAACTTATTTGTACTCATAAAATGTATTAATGTGTTGTAAGGGACTGAAAGTGCAAGAGTTTGAATAGAGCTGCCTTCAGATTCCTTTCCTTCTAATTAGCCCTTTAAATTGGAAACTAAAAGAATAATGTCATATAACTGTGTTATTAAGAGCATGTCTGTGCTGTGAGTATAAAGTAGCCAAGCTGAAAAAAAAGGTATTGCAATATTTAAGATGACAATTGCAATTAGAGCCAATGGGAATTTTGTAATTAAAAAAAAAATCTGGGGCAAACAGCATTCCAGTAGTATAAACATCCCCAAATACTAATGCTGGTGTGGCTGTGTGCTTCTGATGGTAGATGTCTTTACCTGATGGAGAAAGTGTCATGGTCTTTAGGAGTAAGTATTTATGAGGATATGGAATTTTACGCATTGTTAGTACTAAAGGAAAAGTAGTGGGGGAGGAGGCAGTGAGAATGAATAACTGAATAAACTGTTAAGCTGTGCTAATCAATTTCAAGGTGAGATCAAGGTTGTAGTGAGACCTGTGGGTGGGTAGACCTCTCTGCCAGTCTGAAATTCCACAGAAATCGCTAGCTTTTTAAACTTTCGTGTAAAATTAAACTCTTGCAATTTTAATAGCTTGAAGTAAGCATAATGACATAGAAAGCAATAAGGTTTGTCTTTTACTAGAAGTGTATTACAAGCATGTAAAAAAGGGGGTTTTATTGCTAATTCCTGAAATAAACATTCTGATATGTGTTTTCAGGGAGCCTTGAATCTGGGTTTGGGTTTCAGGTTAGTTCAGAAGCAGATTTGCAATTCCATACTTTTTTTATTTAGGGTTGGTTTATTTTAAGTAAAACTTGAGCATGTTCAGGTAACAGAAGAACCCTTACTTAACACCTTGCAAGTATTGCTGGTTGGATCTGCTTTTTCTGTGACACAACCTTACTCAAGGTGCAAAAACAGTCTGTACCACTTCACTTAATGCTTTACTGATGTCTTTGACTGGACACCACAGCAATGAAAGTGAACTTGTGGCTGTAGGCAGAATTTTGGGCAAGAAGTTGGATGTAAGTTGATCTTTCCAGTAGCTGGGTTTGGATTTATTTTGGCTTGTAGAATAGTCTTTGAGGCAGAAGTTACAAAGAAGGTATTTTTCCAGCACTACCTTCTGTGTCTTGGCTCCCTGTTTAGCCTTCTGTTCTGTAGTTGGACTAATGACCTTGCAGTAAATCAGAATCCTGGGCTGCTTTCAAAGCAGCATGGCCAGCAGGGTGAGGGAGGTGATTCTCCCCCTCCACTCCACACTGCTGAGCCCCACCTGGAGCTCCATGTCCAGCTCTGGGGCCCCCAGCGCAGGAAAGGCATGGACGTGTTGGAGCAGGTCTAGAGCAGGACCACAAAAATGATGGGGGGGATGAAACACCCCTCCTATGAGGAAAGATTGAGAAAGTTGTAGTCACTCAACCTGGAGAGGAAAGGACTCTGGGGAGAGCTTATTGTGGGCCCTTCAAGGATATAAAGGGGGCTTACAAAAAAGATGGGTTCAGACCTTCTATCAAGACCTGTAGTGACAGGACACATAGTATACTGACCTAAATAAATTACAGTCTGCTCTACAAGCATGAATAATTTTTATCCCTAAAAAGCATTAGTTTTCATCTTTGACTTTTAATACATACTTATTAATTTTTATTAGAGAAGGTATCAAAATTGTATATTAAACTGCATAACCTGCTATATTTGTCCTGTTATCTTGATTTATTGTATTTGTCCACAGATTTATGGTACTGACTGTATAACATCTGAAAATCTTACCTTAATGTGGTTCAACCTGGGAACTTGGTGATTTTCTCCAAAATTTCAATTCAATTTAATTCAATTTCTTTAGTTAATTTTTAAAAAAAAAGTCATTTTGCTCAATACACTTTGGAAAATATCCAGGTGCCTGTGAAATTTGTTTATGCTTAGTGCCCTGCATTTCAGTATGGTTTATCAGCTTGAGATGGATGCTGCAGTAAGCATGCCTGGGTAGTTTTTGATTTGGAGCTAGTTTATATCCAGGTGTCCTGGAGCAAACATCTTACCGACAAAATTGCACGTGGGTCTAGTTTTGCTGTCCTTTATGAAACCTTTTTTGTCTCCTACAGTTGTGTACATTGTTTTACGTTTGCAAATGTTCCCCTTCTGGATGAAGTCCATAACAATGTGTTTTGTATTTCAATAAAAGGCATCTTTATTAGAGTCCAAGAGAAAATCCTGTTGAAATTTGTTTACTTTACAGTGAGTGTTATCTAGAGTAGATTCACAAATTCTATTCATTCCTGATGTTTAGAAGTGAGATAGTTCATCTGGATCTAATAGCAAGGGCTATAAATATAAATAGTAAGTTCATGATGCAGTGTTTTGGTATGTCAGCTTTGCTTAAGGTACAAAACATTAATTATAAAAGTGTTTTAAATATAGCAAATTACACTGTTAAACTAGTTGCTGGGAGCACTTTGGAAATTTGTTTAAGCATTTTTTTTAATAAACAAATGTGCATGTAAATGTGCAATAAAATACACCACAAGCTTCTCAATTCTTTGAAGTTGAATGATCATACGCAGTCATCCATAAAAAATGCTAAATTACGCTCTTAACTTTCTAAGCTGAAATTTTCTACATGTCTCTTAAAATAAGTGTTTATATGACAAGGAGTAAATATTTCTTTTTGTAAAATTTAGGTCTAGAGCTCCTTCTGGATGTGGTGCCAGAATTCCTCTAGCCTGAAAGATGACTAAGAGCTTCAATGATGAACAAAGTGGACAGATGGAAACACAGTTAACCTATTTCATGTTATCAGTAACCTCCCTGATTATTTGTTTCTATGTTAACTTTCCTCAGATTGTTAAACTGGCTGTTTATAGAATGCTTCCAAAAAACCTTCAGAGAAGAACTCTGATGCAGAGGCTACATCTGTTCCCTGAAGATGTGAGTAGCCATGCAGTTACATTTTCATCCTTGTGTTACATAGAGGTAAAGAGGGAGTGTTAGCAACAGCGCTGATTTCATAAGCAAGTAAATTAAAACAAAAATCAAACTGCTTTTTTTATATATATTTATATGTAATTGGGTGGTTTCCATATTATTCTGCAGAGATTCAAGACGTATGAGATTGGTGTATGTAGGTCAAACACTCTAGCATGAAGAATGCAGTACTAATGACAAATGTTGGTCTGGCTTTGTGGGCAGGGGTGTTGTTTGTTAAACAGTCAAGTAGTTAGGACTATTCTCACCTGTCTCAGGTTATTCCAGAAGATATAGAGAAGAACCTTCTACAAGAGATTCCTCAGCCACGTGCAGTCCCCAAGAGGTTAGATGAATATACACCAGAAGAAATTGCTGCCTTCCCAAAGGTTTGGACTCCGTAAGTATCTTAGACTTTTTAAGAGGACACATTGACTGAATATGTATTATGTAGGCTCCCACATTATGAGTAAGAAAAAAGTAGACATTCTTCTCTTTATGTAATATTTTTTTGGAGAGACGAGGTCATTAAAGCAAAGAACAGTGGTTGCTAAAATTTTCTATTTCTGGTTTGTTTTCTTTTACATAAGAAAAGCTTTACTTAAAATCCTATATTTTCAACTCCCTGCTTCATCAAAGTGAATAAAGTAAAAATCTTCATTACCTGATTTGAGTTGGATGTGCTCCGTAATGCATAACTGTTAGCAATAGCCAAAGGAAATGCCACTCAGGTCTGTAAACTTTCAAAAGCTTATTAGAAATCACTTGTACTTAGGTTCCTCACCTTAGATAATACTAAAATATGTCTGTACTTCCTTCTGTGTAGTAGAAGCACCTCTGTGTTAAAGTGTCTGTTAAAGGAAATAGAATCCAGCAAATACATTGCGCCCTCTTCTGAGCTGAACAGGGAGATTGGTTTTGACTTCTTCTAACCCGTGTCACTGATAAAGCTTGGTATATTTGCTTTTATCCTCAATACTGAATGGAGCTGAAATTCCTGAGACCTCCTGGTTTCTATGAGGTTTCTGTGGATTAGCCTTGAAGAAGTTTAGATTCTGCACAATTGACCAGAATTCTGCAGTACTTTACAGTAAAGCTGATAAGCATGTCCTGTCGTATGATGTGCTATAGTCTTCTGTAAGTGTGATTAATATTAAAATTGATAGAGGTTCTGCACAATAATTCAGCTTGAATGAGGAGATGGCACTTAGTTTTAACTCACTAATTGGGAATATCTGTATTGTCTAAGTGTTGTGAATTATGACATAGTGTTATGCTGACAGAGCTTTTTAAATTAATTTCTTTGTCCCCACACACTCCCATAGTTCATCTCCTTAGGATTGGGCCACCTTAATTGTGTTGACTTGCAGGTGTGTGTGGCAGAGGACAAATTAACTTGATGCCGTCTAATTTAGTCATTGCTGTCAAACTAAGTTTTGTAATATCTTCATGTCAGCGTATTAGCTGTGGGGAAAATCTGCAGGTAAGAGCACTACTGCAGTTAGAATTCCCCTCCCATAATTTCTTGGAACATTCCCTTCAAAGGAATTCAAAGCACAGAGAAAATAAGCATCCACTTTTTTTCATCTTTCTCTCCTCTGCAGTCTCATCTGGATTGATTGCTGGTAATTGCTCTCTGTATACAGTCTTCTTACTCTTTGCCAGTTATGGGGGCTGGGAAGTACAGCTGCCTTAGAAATCCTATAGCAGATTTGGAGGCTTTCAGCTCAGAGGATCATAGTGCTTCTCCTGTGGGAGAGCTACAGAGCTCAAGTGGGTATTATGGTGAGAAAAAACAGGGAATAGGTGCGCCTGAGAGGAACAGAATACTGGGTCTAAAATGAGTGAGAGAATGTTAGAGAGAAATGGAGCTAGTGAGCTCTGGGTGGGGTAGGGAAAAAGAAATGGGAGTTTGGGAGAATTTTAGTGCTCTGAGTGTAGAGACCGGGGCAGCAGTTTCCCTTCAACCACCTACTCCATCTAGAGCCACATTTAAAGGCTTGGAGACACACCTAACCCTTGCTGTGTTAGACTTTTGTCCCACCTGCTTTTATGCTCTCAGGAGCTGGTAAGATCTAGCAGAGGGAGAAGAATGAAGATGGTTATCTTCCATCTCTCCACTAACTGCAGGGCTCATTGCTGTTGCAATTTCAGCTTCTTGTCCTGGCCTGCAACCAGACCATTGTTGGTGTCCGGTAGATTTTAATTTAACCTTCAGCTCATCTTTTTAGCAGTTCTTATCTGGGAAGGGTTCCCAATATGAAGTAATGGGAAAAATAGTGATGTTTTTCCTGTCTGAATGAGAAAGTGTATTTTGATAATGTGGCATTCAGATTTCAGGGTTGTGGGGGGGAGGAGGGCTTAGTTGGCAAATAAAAGATGAAGAATTCAGCAAATTTGGTAAAATAACTTTCTGATGTGATCAGTAAAATACTGAGGTCTGTAAAAGGGGACTTAAAATGAACCATAGCCATGTGCCCACACTGTTCTGATTAAAATGCCAGCTGGAGAGTCTGAGACTAGACAGCTTTGCACCAAACACATTAAAAGAAAGGGTGTATGAATGTACAGAGGTAATAGCCTCTCTGTTCTGAGTTTTTTCAGTGTGTGAACCCATGGAATAATAATAACTCATGCCAACCCATGTTGCATTGTTAAAATATTCCTGTGAAAGACTGGAGAAGGAACAAAAATATAAGTATTTAAATATTCTTCTTTTTAGAGGCATATAGCACAAATATTCTTTTAAAAAGAAGACAGAAAATGGACAGCTTTGTTAAAAAAAAGAGAAGTTAGATTAAAGTATTTTATAAATCTCATCATTTAAGATGTACTGAGAAAGCAGCTATGTGACATGAAAATTACTTCAGAAGAGAAAACGTAAAGGGAACATGAGTTGTTTTGTAGAAATCCAAATATTGCAGAGATATACATGCATCTCAGAACACCAAATGACTTTCTGTTTGGGTTCCTTGTCATTTCAGTCTTTTCAGCTGACAGGCTGTCCAGGGAGGTTGTGGAATCTCCAGCCCTGGAGATGCTCAGAACTCACTGTACAGCTCCTGAGCAACCTGATGTAATGTTGAAGTTAGTTCCTCTTTGAGTGTAGTTCTTCCAGATGCAAATTATTCTGTAGTTCTTTATAAATGGGGAAAGTAAACAAACATAGTAAAATAGATTAATATTTTAATAAACTGTGTTTAAAAAACTCAGTGCTCATCTTATTAGTCCTGTCTGGCTTTTCCTTGGGCTGTTGTTCGTTACTCTGTACTAGGATCTTAGAAATCTGGGTGAGAACACACCATGCTAAAATGAGTAGCCTCTTCTTGTCCCCTGAGTTCTGCATTTGGGATGTAAAAAACCTTATTGTGGACTTGGATCTGTGAGCTTTTGCAGAACCCATCAATAGCTTCCGTGCACTATGAGCAGTCCTTACTGAAGGTAGGACAGAAGATGAAGGACACAGAAAAGCTTTAAACTCTTTTTTTTTTTTTTCTTCTTCATATGGTTTTAGTAATTCTTCCTGCCTTATGTGACTTTTGGTTTTAATTATTATTTATCTTCCATGAAGTTTTGAGGCTGGTGACCAACCTATTTACCAAAGAGTAGATGTTCAGAATGGAATGAAATATCTCTGAGAGTGATTGAGAAAGGAAGGAGTGAGAGGGAAACAGTGTTAGTGGTTCCGCTTCTTTCTAGAGAAAAAAAAAAAAAAAGTTGATACCCTTTAAGATACCTGTATGCTTTAAGGGAAAAAAATCAAATGAAAAGCAAAGCTTAATTAAAGGTATGTAAGTCTATAAATACAGAAAAACACAATTATGAGTAGAAAATTAATCTTTGAGGTTTTACATTAAAACTTATACTCAAAAAATATACCTTACTGACATAAGATAGATAATAGGGTATGAATGTAAATAGCTGAATTTATATGAGAAATTACTAATATCAGGAGGAAGATACCCTTTTCCTCTTTAATTGGAAATTATAATGTAAATTTTCATTTGGAATGTGAAGAACTTGCTCAGTGCTGCTAATGTTACTGGACATTTTGGCTGTATTTTGTGTTAAAATGTCTTGCTAGAGAGGGTTCTTTAAAGGCTGTTTTGCTGGTAGTTGGAGACTGACTCACCACAGAGAAAGACACGATATGCAAGTGGGACACTAAAATAGGGACATAGTTTTAAGGAAAGCACAGGTGTGGAAACACAGAAAATAGTTTGGTTTTCAGAGTGGTGAGCCTTCCCATCGCCTCTCCTTCTACCATGACAGGACATCAAGAGGCATCCTGCTCCATGAAAGTAGAGAATTAAAATTCAGAATATTCCTAGTCAGAGAAGCTTTCCACAAGCATTATTTGCTTTATTCATAATTAGAGCCAACTAACTTTCCAGCTTGTCCAGAGGCTCTGACTTAGATCCTCCACGGAGAGGTCTGAAGTAAGTGGGGAAAACCATGTAGATACGGGAAAGTAAATTATGTCTGTTCCAGACATATTTCAAGGTCAAAAAGATCAAAAACAAGTTCCTTTGACAGAGTTTGATCTTGTACTCTGAATGAAACCTTTATTTCAAGTGTGTTTGAAATTTCAGATTGTATGTCTTTTAAATGAGTTTGAACAGAAATCATCACAGAATTCACCAGTTACATATGACTAAGCAAACAATTCAGTTCCATGAAAGCAAGGATACATCAGATTCATGGGCAAATTTTCCTGTTATATACCATTTGAAAGTTGTTTAACTGTCCAGGTATAAAAATGTTTTGAGACAATTTTAAAGGCAGGAAATTGTATTTCAAGAAGTATTTAAATAAGAATGTTACCAAATACATGGAACAGCAGCTCTGTGTTGTTCCAATGAGAAGGATGCATTCCTGGGAGTTTCCCTTAAGAAAGCAGAGCTGTCTGATTGCATAAAGTCTGCTCAGGCTGGTGCTGGTGTGCAGACTGAGTGCCTGGTCCAGTGCCAGGCCTCCTAGGAGCTCCCCTTGGGCCAGACAGCTGCTTGCTTGTCCTTGGGGGAACAAGTTCTTCTACACTTCTGAAATTTTGAAAACTTGGCATATTGTAAACTCTGCAATTTGGTTTTTGAAAACCAAACACCTTCTTAATGTTAATATTTCTGAGTAGCTTTCCTGGTTTTTGCCCCCATCTGTACATCCTGCTTTAAGGCAGGGCTTTGCAGAGTGTGGTCTGAAGCCATGATTTTGTTCCAGCCAAGCAGCATGGGTTAGGCAGGGTCGCAGTACTGACACTGCTTGTCATCTCCATGCCACGGCATGCAACTGGAAGTTCGTCAGCAATTCTCTGTGGGTTTGAAAGCAGAAAATCACAATGTTCTCAGGCAGAAATTTGTAGGTGATGAAACATAAGCATATTGGATGCCTGTGAACTTCAGA